AAGATGGCCCAAGATGGCTCGAAGACAGCCCAAGATGGCACCAAGGCTGCCAAATATTGCTTCAAGACGGCCCAAGATGCCTCCAAGAGGGCCCAGAGGGCCATTAGAGGACCTCCAACAGGGTCCGAAGAAGTCAAAATCGTTGAGCTCCCTTGGGTTTTCGAATGGTTGTTGCATTCTCGCCTTTCCGGGCTTACTTAAGCCCAAGACGGCTCAAGAGAACTCCACAATGGCCCTCGAGGCATCCAAGACGGCCCTAAAACGACCTAAGAGGGCCTCCCGTGGAACCCAAGACTGCCTTAGAAAGTCCTTCAACACGGCGCCAAGACGGCCCTACGAATGCCCCCCTCCCACACGCCCACAGTACGGCCAAGAGGGCCCCAAGACGGCCCAAGAGGGCCCCAAGCCAGCGTAAGAGGGCCCCAAAATGGCCCAAGAGTGCCCCAAGGGCCCCCAAAGACTGCCTCACAGGAGGGCAGGACAGCCCCAATACGACCCGAACGGGTCTCATCATCATCATCATCATCATCATCATCATCATCATCATCATCATCATCATCATCATCATCATCATCACCATCACCATCATCATCACCACCATCATCATCATCAACATCAGCAACAACAACGACAACATCATCATCATCAGCATCACCACCACCACTACCATTACCACCATCACCATCACCATCAACCATCACCATCACCATGACCATCACCATCACCATCATCATCAGCAGCAGCAGCAGCGTCGTCGTCAGCGTCGTTGTCGTCGTCGTCGTCGTCGTCATCGTCATCAGTAACATCGTCATGATCAGCGTCATCATCATCACCATCATCATCATTATCATCACCACCACCATCACCAACACCACCCCATCCTCATCACCATCACCATCATCACCATCACCATCACCATCAGCAGCATCATAATCAGCATCATCATTATCACAAGCATCATCAGATCGAACGTCATCGCCATCGTCTTCGTCGTCGTCCTCCTCCTCATCATCATCCTCATCATCATAATCGTCATCATCGTCATCACGGCTCTTCCGAGTCTGGAGACACGAGGTGTCACACGTGACGGCCTCTTGTGCCCCCTTGAACAGTCGCCACCCAGAATATTGGGTTGGCACGGTGGCGAGATTTGCCGCGGGCAGCTGGGTAGTATGAATTATGTCAAGACAATGATGACAGTAATAAGAATAGTAGTAATTACTGCAATGCTAATAAACAACAGTAGCAGTATTATCAGTATGAATACTAGTAATAACATTTCTGATATATATATATATGTATGTAATGTATGTACCACTTGTACAGTAGTGTTTGTCGTAATACATATGGATATTACTAGTAAGAGTAATAAAGTCCAGTTTCATAAAGAGAATTCTGAAACTACTTATACGAATAAGCAAACTAATCTAAGTAATATCAGAAGTGGTGTGAGCTCAAACGGAGTGGCAGAAGAGAATGACCAACGCGCAAATCAAGAGGGCGGGGGCTTCTTTTATAGCAGAACAGCGGACGGCACAAACATCACATTTCGGAGGTCCGTGCGGATTTATCAGATCGGCGTTCGACCCCCTGGCCTCCCAGCGCCACCCCTGGCGCGCCCCGCGGACCAGGGAGGCGGGTCCAGCGCCGATCCGAGACATCCGAGCGGGCCTCCAAAGGTTGATGCTTGCGCCGCTGTTTCTCTTCTAGAGGGACCCTCTCGTTCTGGATTTGCGTGCTGGTCTTCTTCGAGCCTGCTTTTCGCGCATTTTCTCGCGATGGCGACCATTGCCAGGGGAGGGTGGAGGAGGCTAGTAACGTCACGTTTCGCGCTGGTGCCGCTCGAGAATTGGCTACCCCTAGCTATTCCCAGACGGCGCCAGCGCGAATCGTGATGTTACCAGGTGGAGGGCGAGGGGGGGGGCGTCCCCAGTAATAGGCGTGATCGCGAATCTTCAAAGACGCGCTCTTTTCGTGCCGGTTCCTTTTGCGTTCATCCTTCCCCCTCCTCTCCTCGCGTCGCCTTCTCGCCTCCCAGAGAATGGGACCGTGCCGCCACTGGGCTTCCGGAGTGGCAGGGTAGCATAGCATAGCGCAGGCAGCCGATGAATGTGATAAAAAAGCCTCCCCCCCCCAGGGCCCCTGGTTTCAATTGCCGGAGATGGGGAAACCCAATCCGGTTTGCGAGAGCAAGTCGGGCGTGGCTAGGACGAGGGTTCATCCGTGCCAGCGCGTCCCAGAGCGTTCTGAGAGCGTCTTCGCAGGCCGCGGCGCCAACGGCGCCCTCCAGAGCCGCCGGGTCTCCGAGACTCTCGATCTACCCTCGCCCGACGTTGCTGTCGTCCTGGCTTCGTCACAGCAGTCTGTCTGGTCACCCCTTGGCGCGCGGCGGCGTCGGGGGAGGCGCGGCGCGCCTCCCCCTTGTTCCGGCAGAGGGGGCGCGCCGTGCCAGGGGGCGCGCTGTATGTCCCGCTCCCGTTTGCGCACCCCGCGCCCGGCAGAGGGGGGGGCGCGGGGAGGGGAGGGCGCGCCGCGCCAGAAGGGGGGGGGGGGCTTCCCCTCCGGACTCCCCCCTCCTCCTCCCCTCCTCCTCCTCCTCCTCCTCCCTCCTCCTCCTCCTCCTCCTCCCTCCTCCTCCTCCCCCTCCCCCCCCCCTCCTGCTCCTCCTCTCCTCCTCCTCCTCTCCTGCTCCTCCTCCTCCTCCTCCTCCTCCTCCTTCTCCTCCTCCCCCTCCTCTCCCTCCTCCTCCTCCTCCTCCTCCTCCTCCTCCTCCTCCTCCTCCTCCGCCACCCCGCGCTCAGCAGGGGGCCGCGGGGAGGGGAGGGCGCGCCGCGCCAGAGGCGGGGGGCGCGACGTAGTGGGGCCGAGACGTAGGAGCGAGGTCGGTTCGGGGAGGGCACCCTGATGCTCTTCGCATTAGTTGGCTGCTCTTGTGCGTCCTGGGGGAGGGCACCCCCGAGTGTTCTGTGTGGTTCGGCCGGCGGAGGGTTCGATGCTCTGGCAGGGTGGTCTTCTGTCCTGGCTCCGGCCGTAGGGTCCGGCACCCTTGTGAGATGGGATGCTTTCAGGAGTGCCTCTTGCGTGTTGCCCACGTTTTCGCATAGCTCCTCGGCGGCCCAAGGGGCCTCCAAGAGGGCCTTCGGGAAGGCCCGCGGGGCCAGACTCGTCGGCCTCTGCCTCCCCCCGGCCCTCCGGCGGCCCGAGCCGGCCCGAGAGCCTCCCAAGATCGCCCCAAGGTTGCCCAAGAGGCTTCCAAGATTCACCGAGCGCGTTCCACTACTCGCAAAGTGCCTGCACATTGTTCATTTCTACTTCTTCGAAAGTTGTTTGATTTCTCCGGGGACCAAGATCCTTCCATCTCTAATTGTTCTGCCCTGGGCCTTCTCCTGGCCACTAGAGGGCTAGGAACAATCAGAAACGAACACAATTAGAAATGAGCACGGTTAGAAATGAACGACGTGTACTCGCAAACCTGCGAAACACAGATGTCTGGCTCGATGCCATTTCTCGCAGGTCTCCCCCCGCGGATCCAGGCCATTTGCGGGCAGTCACTTTGCGAGTAGTGGGGCGCGCTCGCCGAGAGATGGCCCCCAAGACGGGCCTGGCCCTGGGCCGCCAGGGGGGGGGGGGGGGGCGCGCCCCCGGGTGCAGTCCGACTCGTTCAGGAGGGAAAGAAGCACACACAGACACAATTCATCGTCGATTCCCCAGAACATACGGGAACATATGGGAAGTGGGGGGGAAGACAAAAACCCAGGCACAATTAATCGTCGATTCCCCAGAAAATATGGGAGAATATGGGAAGTGGGGGGAAGACAAAAACCCAGAAACTAGGGGGAACTATGGGGAATATCGTGTTATTTGTGTGTCTTTCTTGGTGTGTCCTGTGGCCCCCTGCACTCGTCGCCCCGCCGTCGGCGGAGCTCCATGGCGCGCGCCAGCCCTGGGCGCAGCGGGGCCGCAGGGGGCCTAGCTTTGGGAGTCGCCCCCCCAAACCTCCCTCCCTCCCTCCCCCCCCCTCCCTCCCTCCCTCCCTCCTCCTCCTCCTCCTCCCCCCCCCCACTCCTCCTCCTCCTCCTCCTCCTCCTCCTCCTCCTCCTCCTCCTCCTCTCCTCCTCCCCCTCCTCCTCCTCCGCCTCCTCCTCCTCCTCCTCCTCCTCCTCCTCCTCCTCCTCCTCCTCCTCCTCCAGGCCGCAGCTGTCTGCAGAGTCGCCCCCCCTTTCTCATCGCCGGAGTGCGTTGCACTGCTCGCAGAGTGCCTGCTCGCAAATGTCTGCAACAAAAACAGGGGGCCGCACGCGAACCCTGCCCCTACCCCCCACGATCTCTGAGGGGGAGGGTGGGGTTCGCTTCGCTCGGGAGCTCCCGAACGAAATGAGCCCCACCCTCCCCCACAGAAATCGTGGGGGGTAGGGGTAGGGTTCGCATGCGGTCCCCTAAAAAACACACACATGTCTGCTTCGATGTAGCTTATCGTAGGTCCCCCGGCGGCGGATCCAGGCCCTTTGCGAGCAGTCGCTCTGCGAGTGGTGGAACGCGCTCGTCTACCCCAGGGGTGGACCTAAATGGTGTTTTGGCGATTTCGTGGCCCGTTTTCGTTTCGACTTCGTTTTGCCGTAGAGGTGGACTGAAGACAAAACGAGGGAAAACGAAAACAACACGAAATCGAAAAACACCGTTTACGTTCAGCCCTGCCCCTCCCCCGAACCTTTCTCAATTGCCAGTCCTCGCCAGTCTGAAGCAAATAAGACCCTCCCGCCTTCTTGATTAGTCAGGAAGACGATGATCGGGTTGGGAGGATGGGGCTGGAAGAAATGAGGGTATCCTTACCCGTAATCGGCCGAATGTATCGTTCCTTGCATCCAGTTGCTGTTGCTCATGCCCTTCATCCTCCCAGCCCTCTCCTCCCAACACGAGACTTATTCTTCTCAATCAGAGGGCCGCCCCCCCCTGCTACTCCCTCCGCTACCCCTCCCCAGCGCGCGCGGTCCTTACAGGAGCTCCCGCTTCCCCTCGTGGACCCGGACGCCAAGGCGCGGAAGGGCTACCTCGCCAGTCGCTCCGGGAGCAAGCCGGGGCCCGCGGTCCCCCGGGTGGCGAAGTGACCGCGGGGGGCTACCGCGAGGCTGGCGCCGAGATCTCTTCGACGATTCGTTTTTTCTTCCCCGGGGCAGGGGAAGCAGTCCTCGGGGAACAAAAGGGGTTGGGACCTCGTGGGGCCGCGCCTCGGAAGTGCCGCCTCGTCGGGCGCGTGGGCGCGCGCGATGCGGCCGCCCCGGCGGGAGATGCGCAGGCATGATCACGGCCGCGCGTCTGCCCGCGCGCTCGGCCCCTCCTCGGCCGGGCACGCCGGGTCTCCGCGTGCGGGCACGGGGCGAGCTCTCGGGGACGTCGTGCCTCGGGGGGGGGGGGGGATGGCCAGGGGGGGGGTGGGCATCATGGCGGGGGCCGCGACACCTCCCCAGGTCTCATAGGGGCTAGCGCCTCTGCTCCTTTCAGGGCGTCCCTGGCCCCCCCCCGCCCCCCGCCGGGCCGCGCACGTGCCCCTGGCCGTGATTCCCCTGCTCTTGGGCGCCCCCCTCGTTGAAGGGGCCCCGAGACACACAAATAGATACACACACAAATAAAAGGATTCCCCCATCTTTTCCTATACTTTCTAGGTTTTTGCCTCCCCCCCCCCACGTCCCATATTTTCCATATTTTCCTGGGAATCGACGCTTCATTGTGTCTGTGTGTTTTGTCCCCTCCTGACTCTTGGCCGCTCCGGAGTGCCTGGCACTTCGGGCGCACTCGCCGGTGTCGGCCGTGCAGCAGCAGGCGCACCAAAGCGGAGGGCGGCCTGCCCGCAGGTGCCCCCCCCCGGAAGTGTGCACGCGAGGGCTTCGCTCACCCACCGACGCCCTGGGGCACCCCAGTTCGATGCTCGTTTTGGGGACCTTCTTGGGGGCCACCTAATGGATCTGTTCGACTCAGGTTCGACTCAGGTTCGACTCAGGTTCGACTCGGGTTCGACTCAGGTTCGACTCAGGTTCGACTCAGGTTCGACTCATGTTCGAGTCAGGTTCGACTCAGGTTCGACGCAGCTTCGACGCACGAGTGGAGCGAGTGGCTCCAGGAAGGTCCCCAGAATGAGCATCTAACCCCAGGAAGCTCAGAGGTCAACGAAGAACGAGCCCCTACATTCTAGGCCTCCCAGGCGGGGTCCGAGTCGATGGGGCCCGAGGATCGCGCCGCATCGCCGATGCCTCGAGGAGGCCTGTCTCTCTATATACTTCCTGTAGCAAGATGTCTTTTCGCAGTTCGGCCGTCGGGGGGCGGGCTCCTTTCTCCCGTCAAGAGGGGCCACGCCTCTGGGGCGTGGCTGCGAGGCGTCAAGCGAGCAGAGCTGAGCGTCGAGCATCACTCGTGACACTGGCAAGCAAGCTCGAGCATCGTGAAACGGCCCTCAAGGCTGCCCAACGATCACACACACCCACACATATATATATATATATTTCTCTCTCTCTCTCTATGTCGTATCGGGGAAACGTAGGACTCGAGTAAGCCAGAACTCGGGTTAGCCGAAGTTCTTTGACGAGCGCGTCCAGGATCTTGACGGTCCAGTTTTCGTGGGATGTCTGCAGCGGGAGCCCGCGTCAAGCTTCCGGCCGGACCTCGTCGTTTTCGCGATGGCCCCCGTCGGGCCAGCCCGAGTCCCCCGTGCCCGAGTCTTACGCCTCCCCGATCGTATACGCGCTTGCAGCACCTGGGACCCCGAAGGGGCCAGGGGCCCTCCAGTGCCCCGCTCTCACTCCTCGGAGCGCCGCCGACGGCGAGCCGCTCGCCCGGCGCGCGCACCCGCGCCCTTCCGGCGCGGGTGGCCCCCGCGTGCCCGCCGGGCAGCCGCGGGCTCTCTGCGCGCTGCAGCCATCGAGTGGCCTCCGCACGCGCCGCAGGCGGGCCCCGTCGCCGAGGGTGCCTCCCCGGCGTCCTGGAGGAGGAGGAGACGGAAGAGGAGGAGGAGGAGGAGGAGGAGGAGGAGGAGGAGGAGGAGGAGGAGGAGGAGGAGGAGGAGGAGGAGGAGGAGGAGGAGGGGAAGCCCAGGGGGGATGCATCGACCCCCAGTCGCCCGTGCATCCCCGGCGGCGGTCTGATCGCCCGCCCCGCCCAGGAGGGTGCGGACTCGCTACCGGGGGCCTATCGCCGATCTGTCGGCGATGTCTCGCCGCTTCCATGCCGATGTTCCCCCCCCCCGGGTAGCCCTGACCTTCCAGGAGGGCTAAAAAGTAGCACCTGACTTAAAAACCTATCCCAGAGCTATTCTACGTCTTGGTTTTAGGCTGTTTCGCTTAGCTTTTTAGGTTTTTAGGTCTCCAGTGCTAAAAAATAGCTCTCTGGAAGGTCAGGGAGCCAGTCCCCCTCCGCCGTTCCCCGCCGCAGGACTTGTAGTTGGCCGGCCCTGTCTGGTGGTCGCGCCTGCCTGCTCTTCCCAGCCCAGGCTCCGAAGTCGGGGTGGGCCTCTTTTCTAGGAACTAGAGGGGTGAGGAGAGGGCGGTCTGGGTGGGGGGCAGTGGCGCACCATGTAGGAACGACTTTTCCATATCAGGCGCTATTGTTGCAGAGCGAAGCCACTTATGTGGACCTCCTCATGCTCCTCCCCCCTCCTCGGACGGCGTGTGCAGCATGGCCTACGATCACTTCTTGTGCAGGCAGGCGAGCAACCAAACATGCTTGACTTAGGTGAGGTCTGTCGAGAATTTTCACCGCGCCCTCCTTTGAAGCGCGGGTGGTCGATGCTGCAGTGGCTTTCCAAGGCCTAGTAAGCTGGGGCAGACGACTGGAGCGAAGGTGCACCTTGCCCAGAGGAAGGCGCCCGATCGCCCTGCCGCCCTCGCACCTCCGTCCCCCTCTCTCGTGGTGTAATTATACGCTCCCTCTCTTCATGCCGGGCTGCGGAAACTGTGAACCCAAAGCAGTTCTTATCTCTTGGGGGGCAACTCCTTACTTCCGCCGGCTTCCGCCGACCTCCGCCGGCGGAGGCGGCCTCGTTTGATTCCCGCCGCCTCTCGCCGCCCTGCCGCCGCCTTCCGCCGAGGCGGAGATGGCAGCTCCCTCGACCCTCGCAAGCGAGGCCCCTTTCGGAACGCTCCAGGCCAGGCCACCGGGCTGCGCCACGCCCGATCCAGCTCCGTCGGGACCCGTCCCCGGGCCCCTCCCGGGACCCGGCCGTGGCCACGAGGGCGCCCCCCGAGGCCCAAGGCGTGCCCGGCACGCTCGAGCGCCATCGCTGCCGCGCGCCTCCGCCCGCCCCCCTCCCCCTCCCTCCGGGGCCAAGCTGCTCCCTTCCGTCCCCTCGGGCCTCCCCTCCTCAGGACTCCCTTTGGCAGGACCTGGTGGCTCGAGGGCGGCTCTCGACGCTCGCCGGCGTGGACACGTGAGCTTCACGGTGCCGTCAGTCTCCATGGCAGTCGCGTGCCAGCTGGGCGCGGTGCCCAAACCGCCCACGGTTCCGACAGGCTCCGTGAGTGCGCGCAGTGTCAACGAGGCTCCACCAACATGGGGTCGTCCCTGCTGCCCGCGCCGTGGTTCTGATTAGCTTCCACGTCGTGCCGTATGGGCCCCCTATCACATTTTGTGTTTCTGCCGCTTGGGCTTCGGAGGGGGCCGAGGACTCTTTTATGGACCCTCTGCCAACGAAGACGTCCATAAAGACGGTCCAAACGCACCTCCACATTCTTTACACCGTAACCCAATATACCAGTTAACCACTTGCTCATGCTCTCCTCCTCCTCCTCCTCCTCCTTCTCCTGACCCTTCTCCAATCCTCCTCCCCTCCTCCTCCTTCTCCTCCTTATCCTCCCTCTCCTCCCCCTCCTCCTCCGCCTCCTCCCCCTCTTCCTCCTCCTCCTCCTCCTCCTCCGCCGCCCCCTTCTTTCGGACTGGGATTTCGCAGCCAGGAGTGCTTGCGAAATCCCAGTCCGAGGCCATTTCGCAGGGCCCCCCCCTTGTGTGTGCGCTCGGTTCTTCCTCCTCCTCCTCCTCCTCCTCCTCCTCTTCCTCTCCTCCTCCTCCTCCTTCTCCTCCTCGCCCTGCTCCTCGTCCTCGTCCTCGTCCTCCTCCTCCTCCTCCTTCTCTTCTTTCGCAGTTCATTGCTCTTCATCTGGATGGCGAGCCCGAGCAGGCGCTTCGGTGAAAATGCGTGCGCGGATGCGAGAAGGGGGGGGAGGGGAGGGGGGGGGCAACATGCGCCTGGCGCGTGCGGGTGGGGCACGTATTTTCTAGGCAGGGCTCCGGCCCCTGGTTCTTTTTCCGTCTGCGGGCTCAAGCCCTTCCACCAGAAGTGTGTCGAGCAGCAGGCGTCGGAATGGGACAAGTGAAAACACGTGTTCGGAGGGGCTGTCTCCAACATGAGTCTCACGCACGCGTGCGTTCGGCATGTGTGTTTCACATGTTTCTGGCTACGAAGGGGCCGCAGGCGAGGGACCCAACTTGGCCCGCCAGATTGTTTACACGGAACTGTACGTGTGCAGAGTGGGGGACCCAACATGCGCCTGCCGCGTGTGCGCGGGACACGTATTTTCACGTGTCCGCGGTCCCTCCAAAAATACGTGCGCGGAGGGGGCAAGATGCGCCTGGCGCGTGCGCGCAGGGACATGTATTTTCACGTCGACGTGTCCACGGCCCCCGGGTGGGAACCAAATTGGGGGCGGGGGAGATTCAACATGCGCTTGGCGCGGGCTTGGCGCGTGCGCGCGTGGGGGGAGCCCAACATGCGCCTGGCGCGTGAGCGCGGGGCATGTGTTTTCACGTGTCCACGGCCCCCAGGGGGGGGACCCATTTTGGACCCGCCGGAGTCTTTACACGTAAACATGCGTTCGCGTATGGGGGAGGGCACCATGTGCCCGGCGCGTGCCGGCAGGTCACGCGTGTTCAGCCCACGGCCCTCAGGGGGGGGCCGAACTCGGGCGCGTCGGATTCTTTCCGCGGGAGAATGCGTGAGCGGAGGGTGGGGCCAACGTGCGCCTGGCACGTGCGCGCGGGGCACGTGTTTTTTTTGCATGCCCACGGCCCCCATGGGTGACCCAGCTTGGTCGCGGTGGATTCTCCACACTTGCGCAAGCGCCGCCGAGCAGGAGGAAAATGACGATGGGGAAAAGGAAGGTGGAGGCAGGAATATGATGACGAGGAGGAGGATGGAGGAATGATGGAGGA